GTCCACTCACTTGTCACCCCGATGACAGAGACAGGGCCCAGGCGCTGGCCATTGTGGAAGCCGTACAGGTTCATCTTGTACTTGTGGTCCGGCTCCAGGCCCAAGACGGTGACCCCGTCCTCGTGCCCCGGCACCCGCATCACCTTGGGCTGCCCATCCCTGTCTCTGTGCTGGACGGTGAAGGAATCAAAGTGGCCCTGAGGGACGGTCCAGGAGAGGCTGAGCGAGTCTGGGGAGGATCCAGTCACTGTCAGCTCCCCCAGGAGGGGCTCCTCAGGGGGCTCCGGGGCCTCTGTGCTGGGCTCTGTGGGGCTGGGGGTCTCCTCCACCTCTGCAGGGCTGGGGGTCTCATCCACAATTTCCTGGAGGGCTGAGAGAAGAGATCAGGCTTTACAGGTGACAGGCTTTTCTGGTGACATTAATCATGACTATTTATAATAAAGTTCAGCCAGCAAATAATACTCTTCAAGCTGTAGACTTAGGGGTTCTTGTAGACTTTGTATTAGCCACTCAGCAACTCATCAGAGGAGACGGGGCTGAGACAGGCCCCTAAAGCCCATCATGTACAGCTGGCCGGATTCCACTGTGGGTTCTGTGGGGCAGCGGTCTCCCCTCATGTCTGAGAAAGGAGGTGAGATGGAAGTGAGGAGACTGAGGAATTACGTTCTGTGTTCATGGACAGCTCTTGAGGGAGAACTGAGGCCCCTTCCCACCTGTGTTTCTCCCTTTCAGCTCCTGCCACTCCCCCAGGCTTTCCAGCTGCCCCCACCCCACTTAACAGGTCAGGAGATGGGACGGGCTCTGACTCAGGCCTCCCAAGGCAGCCCTGACCCTCCCTCCACTTTAGACAAGACTGGGAGAAAGATCTGGGGATGGGGGTGGGGGCTGGGGTGGGCTAGGCTCTTCCCTGGCTGGGGCTCAAATCACAGCCCAGAGGGCATCTACCCACCACCCGAAGCAGCTAGGTCTTTGCTGAGGCTCTTCATGGGGTGGGGAGACTGGCACGAGGGAAGCCAGCCCTTCGGTGACCCACTCCCCAGTGCACGGGGGACTGCTTAGGGGACAGGAGGTTGAGGAGGTAGCAGGCAAGAATGATAACTCAGACAGGATGGGGAAGGTGAGGAGGTGAGGAGAAAAGGGTACTGGGAAGTGAGAGAGTCAGGGCAAAATAGCAGCTCACTCTCCAATAGCTGTTTTGACGTGCCAGGCACTGGCTTAAGTGCATATGTATATTAACTCATTTAACTCCAAGAACTCTGTGAAGCAGTTACTATTATTAACCTCATTTGACAGATGAGAAAGCTGAGGCCCAGAGAGGTTTAGTCATTTGCATAAGATCTCAGAGTTACAATGAAAATCTGGGCAGTTGGCTCCAGAGCCCATGCTCCCAACCACGATGCTGCACAGCCACAGAAATGGCGCTGGCCAGGGGAGGCTGAGCCCTGGAGGAACGCAGGGACCGGGGCTGAAAGTGAGCCCTTTGCCCTGCTCCAAGTTGGCAGGGAGTCGGGGAGTCAGGAGGCCGGGAGGAGGCTGGGGAGATGTGGAGCTCACGTCCCTTGGACTCGCCAGCTCTGAGCAGAGCAGTAATGGTGGGAGGGTGTGGGCAGCAGGCAACAGAAGCTCAGAGGTGACCATGGCCTGAGCTAGGGGACGAAGGCCAGCAAAGACCGCGGGGAAAGAACACAGTGGCTGAGAACATCTATGGGGAGACAGCCCGGGGCAGAGGCATGATTCCCAGGGCTCAGAATGGGAGAAACGGGGCCTGTTAGTGGAGTGGAGAAGCAGGGCCAAGAGGTTAGGGGCTGGAGGCTGGAGGAGAAGTCCTGGGATGTGGGGAGTGGATGGTGGAGGCCTTGGCAGAGTTGGAGCTGAGAAAGAGAAGGTGGTGGGAGGTGCAAAGGATCGCGGGCCAGGTCCCGCTCAGAGGGTTGGGGGTTGGCAGGGGAGGGAGGCCTGTGTGGCTCTGACTCACCTGTGGTGGCCACCACAGACACTGGCCCCACACGCTGCCTGCCATGAAGCCCATAGAGGTTCATCTTATACTTCCGGTCTGACTCCAGGCCAGGGATGGTGACCTCATTCTCATCCCCCCTGACGGGTACCACTTGGGGCCGCCCCTGCGCATCCTTGTACTGGACTGTGAAGGAGTCGAAAGAGCCCTGGGCCACCGTCCAGGACAGGTGCAGGGAGTCTGGGGTGGCACCAGTCACCGCCAGCTCTCCCAGCAGGGGCTGCTGGGGGGACTCTGGGTGGAGAGGCTCCTCTCTCTTCTCTGGGGCTGCAAATAAGAGGAAATAGGCAGGGCTGAACTGGCAGCCTGGGGTTGGGGCTTGGGATTTCGACAAGCTGTCACACCTAGGGGGTCTCTATTCCACTAGCATGAGCGCTGAACTCCTGCGTCATCTGGCACAGGCCAGGGTATGACACACCTTCTGGGCCTTGGGGAGCAGCTGAACAGGATGAAAGGGGCCCAGCAGTGCGGAGGAGGCTGGCTGGCCCTGAGCCCAAATGCGGGGCCAGGATTCAGAGTCAGTCGTCTCGCTGGGAGGCCCCAGCTGGTCCATGGCTGAGGGCAAAGGTGGGGAAGACTGGGAGCGGTCATATGGGGGCTTAGGTGGCTGCCACTCACCAGTGGTGCCGTCGGCTGTGAGGGGGCCATGCCGCTTCCTGTTGGCAATCCCAAACAGAGTGAATCTGTACTTGTGGTCAGGGTCCAGCGGGGAGACAACAACTGAGCGCTCAGGCCCTTCCACGGGCACCACCTGGGGTCGTCCATCCCTGTCCCTGTATTGGACCACGAAGGAGTCAAACTGCCCTTCAGGGACAGTCCAGGAGAGGTGCAGTGAGTCTGGGGTGGGATCTGTCACCCACAGCATCCCCAGGCGGGGTGGAGTTCCTGGGCTGGGATCAGTCTGAGCCACTAGAAAGAGGAGGTAGAGAGAAGAGAGGGACACAGGTCAAAGGAGAAGGGGGAATCCATCTCCCACATGGGGATGCTGTGTGTGGTTGTGCAGGCTGTTCACTGCACAAAGGACCATGGCTGATGGTGCACTGAGGACTGAAATCCAACTAACACTGTGCTTGCCAAGCTGTGTATGTGGGCAGGGGGCTACGCTAACCTAGAAAAAGGGGTGCCTTCTTTGAAGTGGCACAAAAGCACTGCATGAACTAGTGTGACCCTGACTCATTCCGCAGTGTTGGGAGGGGCTTCAGAGAGAAGGGAGTCCAGCCAGCCCCTTCCACGTCTCCATAGCCAGGGACATCTTCCAAGACAGCCTCTACTGCTTCCAAGCCTAACAACTAGCTGGTTTTTCCTCCAAAAGAGGGATGCTCAATTCTTGGAGCATTTTAATGTGGGAGAGTCTCCCACACCTGTGCTCTGAGCCCCACTTCCTCCTCTCCCACCCTCAATCCCTCCGCTGTGCCATCAGCATTTACACAAGCTCCTCCACTCGGCTGTAATGCCCTCCAGCCTCCACCCTCCCTCTTTGCTCTCTCTTTCCAGCCCAGATTCCAGAAAGAGACATCTATACTGTTTGTAGTCATGTCCTCACCTCAATCACTCTCCCAGCCCAGCTCCACCCGCCACCAGCAGCTCTCACCAGGGTCAGTGGTGACCTCGCCATTGCAAAGTCCTGTGGACACTGTAGCCCTGAATCACACTTGGGGAATCTGACATGTCTGACCGCACCCTGCATTTTGGCGTCCTCCCCACACCACCCCTCAGGCTGTCCTGAGGCTCCTCTTTCTCTGCTCATGCCGTGAATATTCGCCGTCTCCAGGGTTCCAGTGGCCCTCTCTCCCCCACTGTCCCCTGCCTTACCCTGGCTTCTGTCCGCTGGGACACCCATACCCCCTCTTCAGGCCTTTTTTTCTGCTCCCCAGGCCCCTGAGGGCTGCATTACTTGCTGCTTGTCTGACCTTTCCTCTCTGGGCCTCGATTCTCCTCATCTATAAAGTGAGCATGTCTCACAGGGCTGCTTCTAAGGACTAAGTGTGATGATACACCTGGAACATCTTGAACACATCTGACACTTCACAGATGCTCGGATGTTTTAACTAAGTGTCCCATGCTGCATTGTTCCTCACATCAGCTGTTCCCTGCCTCAGGGAATGGGGGGACAGTCTGACCCAGAAAGGTAGGGGTGCCTGGGCCTCCTCAGTTTCCTTCACCTCGCACATCCAGCCTCACTGTCACCATCCCAGCTAGGCGACCATCATTTCTTGCCGGTTTTTAACTCACTTCTCCAGCTATCCTCTGCAGCAGCCTCTGAGTTACTTGTAGGATAAATATTGAATCAGGTCACTCTCCCACTTCAAGCCCTTCAGCGTTCCCCTAGGGTCCTCAGATGAGGACCGAGTGCCTCAGTCAGACACATGAGATTAGAAGACCCGTCAGCCTGCCGGGGCCCTGCCCCCACCCAGAGGGAAGAGACTTTGATTCTCTTTCAGGGCCACTCTCACTTCTTGCTCTCCACTGCTCCTTCTGTTTGCACTGCCCTCCTCAACCTTCCTGCCTGACCCACCACAATTTTTCCTTCAGGATTCATCTCAGGCACCACCGCCTCCAGGAACCCTTCCTGGAATTCCCAAAGCACTGGGCAGACCCTCTTCAGGACCATGCAGAGGGCAGGGGCAGGGGTGTGTGACCACCCTCACTTACAGATCTTGGCTTCAGTCACCAGGGGGCCGTGCTTCCTCTTGCCCACGAGCCCATACAGGACAAATTTATACTTGCGACCGACATCCAGGTTGGAGATGAGGGCTGAGCGCTGGGGCCCCTCCACTGGCACCACCTGGGGCCCGTCCCTGTCCTTATACTGGATCATGAAGGAGTCGAACTCGCCCTCAGGGACAGTCCAGTGCAGAAGTAGGGAGCTGGAGGTCACGTCAGTCACTGATAGCTTGCCCAGGCGTGGCGGGGCCAAGGGCTTCCCAGGCTTCTCCCCATCCCTGTCTGGGGTTTGGGGGGCAAAAGCAAAGCAGATGGGCTCCACCATTGCTGTGTGCCCAGTCTCCTTCCTTCTCGTCTGCCCACTGGCTCATTCCATCCTGGACAGCTCCCTCCCTTGAAGCCTCTACTTCTCTACCCTCGGTCCTCTGTGACTAGCCTTTTGTGGAAGAGTGACATTTCCTTCAATCTCTGTTCTGGAGTAAGAGCTTTGGACCTTCCCTTGTGATAGCTTCTCCACCCCTTACAAAGGTCCCAGTCCCTCCTCACACCAAGATCTTTGAGGGGGTTTCAAGTCCCCATGGTTCTTCCTGAGAGTTTAGGACATCCCCATTCCTGTTTCAAAACAGTCTGAAGATGCCTCAGGCCATCTGAACTTCTCTCTCCCTTGCCACCCTCTCCCCAGTGGTGAACTGGATCTGGAGTTGCAAGGAGAACTGGCTACCCTAGTCCTATAAACAGGGACCCAGATGAAATGTGAGAGCCAGGAACTCCAGGCTCCTACACTGGTTCCAAAAACCTCACTCATCTCTGAAGTCCTGATGGCTGTGGAGTGCCCTACCCCAAGGAACCTCCACCCCAAGCACGAACTGGCTGATGGGACCACAGGGCACTGTCCACTGTGGGCCGGGTTCCCTGGGTGTGGGTGGAGGGCAACACCACCGTCCTAGCCTGTTCAGTAAGGGGATGGTAAGGGCTCTGGGGATGGGAAAGGGAGGAGGAAACTGAGTGTCAGTATCTCAGTGCCAGAGGCATTCACACACCCATCCTGAGAGGTCAAGGGGAAGGGTGGGGCAGGGGAGTGACCAGGAAATGGGGGCAGGACACAGGGCAAAGACAAGTGAAGAGCCAGGGGCCAAAGCCTCCCTCCTTGAATCCTAGTCCCATCCTCTGACTTTTCTCCTCTCATCTGCTTTTCCTGGAGTTCCCCAGCCCACCTTATCTCTGTTCTAAGACCCCCTCCCTCCCTCTTGCCTCTGAACCCTCAGCTCCTTTTAGCTCCTTGTTTCTCCTATCCCCCTGACCCGGCCACCAGCTCTACCCGTCAATCTCCACCCCATTTCTTATGTCCCAGTGGCCTGGCCCCTCCCCCAACCTCAGGACACTAGTCTGGGCAGAATCCAGGATGTACCCATAATGCCTTGGTAGATGAGAGGGGCAGAGGGCTCGCCCTCCGGGGGGACCCCACGAAGTGACAGCTCATAGGGGGATCCAGGAGGGGGTGAGGGCACCAGAGCCTGATGGACATCCCCTGGCAGTAGTTCCTCATGTGCCCCTGGCCCTTCGGGCACCCGTAGGCGCAGCTGGAAGTGGGCAAAGGTGTCAGGCTGAGCGGTCCAGGCCACGCGGAGGCGCCCTGTCTTGTCTCTGCCCAGCACCCTCAACTCTCCCAGCTCCTGGGGGCGCTGCTGCAGGACAGGGGCCTGGGCCCCTTGAGTTGTTGACGGGCCTGAGGGAGGCGGCTCATCCGTGGCCCCCAAGAGGCCTAAGGGGGAGGAACCTGGGAAGAGGCAGGGCAAGAAAAACAGGAGAGTCGAATATGAGAGCCGGAAAAGAAGCCCCAGGTCCCAGGTTCTGTCCTCTAGCCCCTAAGAGCCTACAGACCCTCCCTCTTCTCCTAGGTCACCCCCTGGGTCACCTCATCCTCCCAAAGGTCCACCGCAGCCCTGCACAGACAGGTCTGCCAGTAATAAAAGGAATAAAGTCTGCCATCCCTCCCCCACATGGCTCCTATGATCTCCAGCCCCACAGACCACCGTGTCCCTCCCCACAGGCATCCCCCTCCCCACTGGGTGGTGGTCGTGGCTTCCATTAGTGCTGCAGTGAGAAGCCTGGAAGAAAGGAGGAGACGGTGGTGTTAGGGAAGGAGGATGCAAGAGAGAGTGGGTAGTGGGAAGAAAGGGAAGAAGGTGTGTTGGGGGATGGACATCCAGCTCAGGTGGCATCTCGGCCCTATGGGGGAAGAAGAGGTCCACAACCCTCCCCATGGCAGCCACAGAGCGCCCCTTCCCCGAGCCCGGACATCGTTCCTGTGGGAGAGACAAGCGTGGAGTGAGCCAGGAGGTCTGCAAAGGCAGCTCAAGAAGCAGTGGTTTCACCTCTCACAGACACATGCTGCCTGATGGCTTCAAGGCCACCCCCAGGCAGTTCCGATGTGTCCCTCTGAGGTTAGGGGAAGATTGTGGAAAACAGTAACCACTGACCACAGTCTTCAGCCACCCTCACCACAATGAGTCAGAGTGGCGAACCACTGGTTTCACTCCCTACCCCACCCAAACAGCTCCAGTGACACTGCCCCTCTCACCAAATGCCTAGAACAGCAATCCTGGCAGAAGTGCCCTATGAACCCAAGTGAAAAATCAGGGATCTCTCAGATCTCCTTGGCTTTGGGTATCCACCAGGACCTTGGGGGTGGAGAT